CTCCCCTCCAGAGCTCGGGTGCGGAGTGAGAGCAAATATCTCACCTCCAGCTTTTCCGTGGGACCCGCGCGCTTCCCGGATCAGCACACCCACTCCGCGCTGCCCCACTGCTGGTACGTCAGCGATTGTAGCGATGAGTCCATTAGCGGGAGCTCTGCCTGTCTGGTTAGCGCAGGCCAGCTCTTTGCGGTGGCTCATACGCACAATCAGACTCGGCTATGCGATTCAGTTCGCGAAACGGCCCCCCAAGTCGCGGGTGTGTATTCACCAGGGTCCGCCCCCTGTCCGCCCCTGTCTTGCGAGAGGAGATTGCTGTCCTCCTGGCGAAGGATGCAAATCGAGCCGCTCCCTCCAGCCGAGATGGAGAGCGGGTTTTACAGCCCACACTTCATCGTGCCCAAAAAGAGCGGTGGGTCACGGCCAATCCTAGATCTGCGCGTTTTGAACCGCTGCCTGCACAAGCTGCCGTTCAGAATGCTCACGCAGAAGCGCATCCTCCGGTGCGTTCGTCCTCTGGGTTGGTCTGCAGCATTAGACCTGATGGACGCGTATTTCCATGTCTCCACTCTCTACTCGCCACCGTCAGTTTCTGCGGTTTGCGTTTGAAGGTCAAGCTTGGCAATACAAAGCCCTCCCCTTCGGGCTCTCTCTGTCTCCGCGGGTCCTCACCAAGCCCGCGGAGGGTGCCTTAGCGCCCCTTCGGCTCGCGGGCATCTGCATACTCGATCTCTTTACGACTGGCTGATTTTTGCCCTCTCTCGGAGCAATTGATTATGCACAGAGACAAAGTGCTCCGGCACTTCCACCTGTGGGGGTTTCAGGTCAACCGAGAAAAGAGCAAACTCGCCCCCGTGCAGAGGATCTCTTCTCTCGGGCTGGAGCTGGACTCGGTCACCATGGCAGCGCGCCTCTCCGGAGAGCGCGCTCAGCTGATGCTGTACTGTCTGAGAGAGCTCGACAGTAAAATAGTGGTCCCACTGAAACAATTTCAGAGGCTCCTGGGGCATATGGCATCCGCAGCCGCTTCTGCCGCTCGGATTCCTCTATATGAGACCACTTCAGCACTGGCTTCACGATCGAGTCCCCAGACGCGCATGGCACGCGCGCACACCGAGTCTCTGTTACTGCGCTGTGTCGCCGCGCCCTCAGCCCTTGGAGCGACCCCTCGTTCCTACAGGCCTGGGTGTCTCTAGAACAGGCGTCCAGTCTTGTTGTCGTTTCAGCAGACGCTTCCAACACGGGCTGGGGGGCTGTGCGTTGCGGGCATGCGGCTGCGGACCAGTGGAGAGGTACCCAGTTGCATTGGCATATCGTCTGGAGCTGTTGGCAGTGTTCCTCGCTCTCCACCGTTTTTTTCCGGTGCTGGAGCGGCAACACGTGCTGGTCAGGACGGACAGTACGGCGGCGGTGGCGTATATCAGCCGTATGGGGGTATGCGCTCTCGCCGCATGTCTCAGCTCGCCCACCGTCTGCTCCTCTGGAGTCATCCGCGGCTGAAATCGCTGCACGCCTATATAAATATTCATATTCAGCATATTCAGGCAAGCTCAACCGTGCAGCCGATGCACTCTCACGGCAGCCTTACATCCTGGAGAATGGAGACTCCACCCCGAGTCTATTTAGCTGTTATGGGCGCGATTCGGGGAAGCCCAGATCGATCTGTTGCTTCCCCCGAGATCGCTCATTGCCAGTTGTTCTTTCCCTGACCGAGTGCTCTCGGCACGGATGCACTGGCTTACAGCTGGCCTCGGGGCATGCGCAAATACGCGTTTCCCCCAGTGAGCCTGCTCGCGCAGTTACTGTGCAAGGTCAGGGAGGACGAGGAACAGGTTGCTGGTTGCACCCCTCTGGCTCAACCGGACCTGGATGTCAGAGCTCTCCCTCGCGATAGCCCTCCCCTGGCAGTCCCTTCGAGAGAGCACCTACTCTCTCAGGGACAGGGCACCATCTGGCACCCTCGCCGATCTTTGGAGGTCATTAGATGCGAGGAAGACTTAGGTAACCTCCGATTGCGGTGGCTAATACCGTCACTCGGGCTAGAGCCCCCTCCCCGAGCACGCCTATGCCCTGAAGTGGAGTCTATTCACTGAATGGTGTGTCTCTCGCAGAGAAGACCCCCGTAATTTGCCAGATCAGCGTTGTGCTTTCTTTACGCCGAGAGAAGCTGGAGGGCAGGCTGTCGCCCTCCACACTCAAGGTTACGTGGCTGCCATCTCCGCTCTCATAACGCGGTGGCTGGCAGCACCGTGGGAACGCATAACCTCATCATCCGGTTCCTCAGGGGCGCTAAGCGAATTAATCCACCCCGCCCCCTCTCATGCCCTCTTAGGATCTAGCCCTCGCTACACAAGCCGCGTTAGATCCCTTCGATCCTCGACTCAGTATCTTTCTGTCCCCGAAGACAGCTCTGCTGGTCGCGTTGATATCGATTAGAGGGTCGGGGACCCGGAGGCATTTTTCAGTCAGTGACTCGTGCCTGTAATTGGGCTGGCTTTCTCTCACGTCCTGAGACCCCGCCCGCGATATGTGCCCAAGGTTCCTACCACTCCGTTTTAATACGAGGTAGTGAGCCTGCAAGTGCTGCCCTCGGAGGAGGCAGACCCAGCCCTTCTTATTGTCCAGTTCGCGTTTTGCGTATTATCCGGACCGCACTCAGAGTTTAGATCATCTGAGCAGCTCTTCGTCTGTTATAGCGGTCGGCAGCAGGGAAGTGCCGTACCAAAATAAGTTTCCACTAGATTGTGGATGCCTTTCTTTCACTATCAGAGCCGAGGTGAGCCGCGTCCCCCGAGAGCGTGTGCGCACTCCACTCGGAGCTTCGCATCCTCTCGAGCGCGCGCACGCGGCGCCCCTCTAACAGACATCTGTAGAGCTGCGGGCTGGGTGACACCCAACACATTTGCAAGGTTTTACAATCTGCGAGTGGAGCCGGTTTCCTCAAGGGTATTAGGTAACCCTTGGTGATTGAGGAAACAATTCGGTAGGGTGTTGAAACACGATTGCTGCGCCATTTTCCCTAACACGGAGATACGTGCGCCTTTTTATCTGTCAGTAAAGTTCCCCGTCAGGTGAGCCCTGCAGATTCCTCCGTGGCCCCCAGCACTGACTCAGCGGAGGAGTCACTTGCTGGCCCACTACGTTGTAGGTCTGCCCGCTGGTCAGCCCGCGTTTTGGGTAAAGGTGCCTGCTATGCGTGATCCCCACTAGGCGATCCCATATGCTTATTCCGCCACGGTTAAGTTCCCCCCCCCTGGGCGGACCCGTGTCTTCCCTCTCCGCTAACCACTCTTTTGCTATGCGTACTCCCCCTTTTTAGGGCTAGTCCATATGTAAATTCTGCCATCTATCCCCCCTTGGGTAACGGATGGCCTCCGCAGCGTCCTCCCTATCGGGATTGCATGCTTCCCAACGTACTGTCGTATTTTCCTAGAATTATCTAGATGCTCACGACTTCCCAAAAATATATCTAAATCCGTAAAACTTCTGTTGAAGTAGGATAAATTAGGGCCAGGGACACGTTGGAGGACCGCGCCTCCCATGATGTGAGTGCGTCACGCTTGCTTGACAATCCCCTCATCGGGGGCGTTGGTAAGGTGCAGTCATTATGGCGCTTTCCATACTTCTCCCATTTCGTGAATTTCAATCAATCCACTCTATGGCACTGAAGTTCCCCAACCGAAGGGGAACGTTCGAGGTTACAGAAGTAACCCTTCGTTCCCCGAGGAGGGGAACGGAAGTGCCATACTCCGTCGCCATAATGACTGTCCCTTAGCTGTTTGAAAGTCTCTTCAGCTTAAAAGGATGGCGTCTGCTCGCTCCAGGTGTGCTTATATGCTGGGATAATTGGCAATGAAGTACACCTGTGCAAGCTTACGCTGCTAATTCATTGCATTCATTGGCCCGTTCAATACTCTTTCAGACAAGCGGCTTCTGAACCGAATCCTCCCATTTCGTGGATTTCAATCAATCCACTCTATGGCACTTCCGTTCCCCTCCTCGGGGAACGAAGGGTTACTTCTGTAACCTCGAACGTTTTTTGGATCAAAGTGATCCAGATCCTACAAAAAATGTATGAAAAATCCAAACTAAAGGTTTGATCCGGATCAAAACCAAGATTGGATTACGTGATCTAGTCCGATTATGTAATCCGTTTTTTCTTTTTAAAAACCCATTTTCAAGATTTGATCCAATCCCTTATCCAAAATCCTAGTGGATTACTTTTGAAAAACCGGGCCCTGGTGCTACTCCTGTCAGCTAAAAACAGGGAACTGAGACTGCAATTCACACAGGCTCACTAAAACTGGACAATAGAAGATTGGAAAAACGTTTCCTGATCTGATGAGTCTCGATTTCTGCTGCGACATTCGGTAAGGTCAGACTTTGGCGTCAACAACATGAAAGCATGTATACAATTTGGACCAAAATCTCTGAGTAATATTTGCAGTGCCTTGTTGAATCTATGCCATGAAGGATTAAGGCAGTTCTGAAGGCAAAAGGAGATCCAACCCAGTACTAGTAAGGTGTACCTAATAAAGTGGCCGGCTGATTATTTAAATAAAAAAAACTATGTAAAGGTGCAAACTTTACTGATTCTAATTGGCTGCTGTCTGTCATTTTCCTTTTCTGTCTCCAAGCAGTGGTGTTTATTTTCAGCTTTAGGTTCAAAAACAGCCTCTACTGGAGAGGCGGAGATAAAGATAGTAAAGGCCACATCTGATTGGTCAGATATGGATCAACAACCTATACATGCAGCACACAAATGTTTGGCACAAAAAATATTTTATTTATTTCACTTTGTGATATGGATATTGCATATACTATTTATGATTGTTTTCGATATATAGTGGAGCCCCGAACTATAACATGTAAAATGGGAATATATAAGGACCATTCTAAAAGCAACTCATAAAAACACCTTAATCATTTTATTGCCATATTTAGATTAGGGTAAAAAATTTGATTACTGATGTTCATGTAAACATAGTGACTGTTCTCTACAGGTTGTGGGATTGTGGAATCACAAGTGAAGGTTGTGCGGCATTGGCTTCAGCTCTGAGATCCAACCCTGAACACCTGAGAGAACTGGTCCTGTCCTGGAATAAACTAGGAGATCTGGGTGTAAAGCTTTTCTGTGGTGCTCTTCAAGATCCTAATTGTAAGCTGGAGAAACTGTGGTAAGGTTTTCTCTTTGTTAATCTGAAGAGTAAATACAGGTTGGCGTTGTGTTTTCTGCATGCATGACTGGACATTTTATCTGAATCATCTCCACAAGAGTCACTTGATTGTTGCACAACAAGGGGGAAGGGGAAGGGCTAAGGGGTAGAATTGGGATTGGGCTCTTTTTCAAACAGAAACACTGAGGGCTCTATTTTGACGGTCCATGCGCAGGGCGCAAACGCTTTCAGGACGTGTCAGAACGCATTTTTGCTAATTTAAGGATGGGAAAATCCGCTTTGCGCTGTGGCGCATGGTCTAAAAGGGTTGAGTTTGTTTTCTTAATTAGTTATTGGTGCGTTTTGAGAATAAACCAATCAGAGTCTCATCTCCCATTACCTTTAAGAGCCAGCTGCGTCGCGCCATAAGCGCATTTGCTATTTACAGGACGTAAAGTAAGTCTAAGTGGAAAACCTGAGCATTTCACTAGCAAACAGTTAACAGTTTTTTATAACAAAACAGTTAAACAGAGCATCTACTGCGTGAGAATGAGAGATAATGGATCACTTTCACTTTCGCTTTAGCTCTTGTGGATAGGGAAACCTTTACACACAGACATCAATTAGTCTATAAATAATTAATTTCGTTTGTTAAGCGCAAATATTCGTTTCAAAACTATTTCTAAATTCAGTTCTAATTTCCAGCAAACGAATAAATGAATAATAATAACAAAATGAGCTATATAGAGATATGAGTTATATCCTAAAACACATGCTGTGCCCCATATGGTCTAAAACCTGACAGGTGGGCAAATTTAAGCTTGTTTTTAATAAAACAAATATAAATATGGATATAATAAATAATACTGCTAATAATAATAACATTATACAAAAGCAAATTGTTATGAATGAACTGAAAAAGCCTCCTGAGATGAAGAAGGCAAAAAAAGTGATTTTTCATATTTATGTAGGCTAGAAAATAATGTTTTGTAATATTTTAATCCTTTATATTTATATTCTATATCTATTCTTATTATATCCTATATATATCCTTAATATTAAAATTTTTTCATATGTAAAGATATTTGCCTATTGCTCTCTTGTGCGTATTAAGCAGTGCGTAAATGAGGCGCAACTCTGCGCTGGAGTTTATACCGGGTTTGTTTTGGTCTAATGAAAAATCTATTATAGTTTCTCAAAATAGCAACGCGCCAGCAGTGCGCCTCAGAACGCCTTCCTTTTATGACCAGAACGCCTATGGGCGCACATATGAGCGCTAATGCATTTGCTATTTAAACAGCGTAGCGCAACGCCTCAAAACGACTCTTGCGCCAAGCTGAAACTAGCAAAACACTATTGCGCCGCGCCTTGCGCCACACTATGCCGGGTTTATGATAGGGCCCTGAACATTAACATGCATAAATCTCATTCTCTGTAGCTATATCTGGCAGTGCATGAAATTACAAAAAAGTAAAGACACTGCCTCAATTCACAAAATGTTTTTTTCTTCAGGTTGAGAGATTGTGGTGTCACTGCTGAAGGTTGTGTTGCTTTGGCTGCCGCTCTGAAATCAAACCCTAATCACCTGAAACATCTCAGTTTGTCAGAGAATTGCCTTGGAGGTTCTGAAGTGCTAATACTTTCAGATCTGCAGGACAAATCACCGTATATACTAAAGGAGCTATATTATTGTGAGTATATTTTTTTTCTTAAAGCTTTTAAAGGGTTAATGCACTGCTTATAGTAAAATTTTCTGAGGTCCAATTATAATGATAGCAAGATTTTTCTTTTTGCATAAAATAAATTCTGAACTGAACTTTCTGTGTTGATTTTGAATCCCCAGACGTTTTAACAAGTGTGTATCCTTAAAGACTGTGAAAATGATTGGCTGAATCTTTCACATATTCAAATAAGTCATAACAAAAATGTTCATTGTTAAAAATGTCAGTCTGTGAAATTCGGATTCTAAACCCAAATTTGCAGACCAAGGGCCTCATGTACGAAGACTTGCGTTGAAATCATACTAAAACATTGCGTACACACAAAGCTGTAAATGTTTGGTACCCTTTCGAAAGGGTACCAAAAACGAGAAAGGGTAACAAAAGGTGGAGCTACATGCGCAGCTGAACGCTGATTGGTTACAGAGATACGTCACGAGCTTGTGGAGCTAGACAGAATGTAAACAAAGGATCCGCCATATTCTAATGCACAGCCGAGAGATTACATGGATATACTATATGCATATAATAACGAGCCATGGATGACCCGAGCTCAAACAAACCTTTTCGTCGTCTTGTTGAACAGACACAAAGCCAAGAAGAAAAATCTGCCGTGTCCTGTTATTGCTTTACGAGCCCGTCTAAAAGTGTGAGCGGTATTCGCTTTCTTCCGGGAGCTTGCGATCACGTCTATATTTGATATAACAAACTTCTTGAGCTGATGATAATAACGTGTGCTTGATTATTGAAGTGTTTCCATCATCTGTTCCATGAATATTGAACAGGACAGGCACGAAAGTGAAGCGTGGAACAGAAGGAGGAGCCCAACAAAACTCAGGATCAAAATTGTTTTAGCAACCTGAATCATGAACAAACTGCCATGTTTATCTTCGCCTTTTGGACTATTATGAACTGGAAATGAGAAAATGACTCTCCAACAGAGCTTACATGTGCTGCTAAAGACTATACAGACACAGATGAGAGGTTTTCACTGACTGTGGGCTGTATGTTGCGTGTGTTTTTGAACTCAAATAAGGACTTAATGTATGCTGTGTGTAATTTTTCTGTAATTGGTAACATATCGGAGACTGTAAGGGTCTGTATGCGTTCTTTTATGATGCATTTATATATTTATTTAATATAATTGGAGACGTTACAGTAGCCTATATCGCACGGTCATTGATCTGCAGTTATAATTAAATCCTGTTCATAGAAAAGTTAGTAATAAACATTTATAAACAAGTATTTGTGTATAAAGCATCTGTTTTGTGAGAAGTGCTTCTCATATTATATGTAAGCGACCCGTACAGCTTTACTGTAGACATTTATTCGAGCAAGCATGACGTCGACTTAAACTTTCTGTCATACACCATGCCCACCAAAAGGGTACCCTTGGTAATGGAAATGCAAGACTGATAAAGGTGACCCGTACCGAACCGTACCGTACTGAACCAGTCAGTGGAAACAAGCCATAAATGAGTAAATGGATCAGGATTCCAATGAATATTCGATCACACTTTATTTTGATGGTTTGTTAAATTTAAGTTACATTGCATATACATGTCAACTAATTAGATCTCATTAGATCAGGGGTCACCAACATGGTTCACATGAGTTGCCTGCAGGCCTGTTTTAGAAAATAGCTCACCATAGCACCACATATAAGTAAGCTGCATCTAATATTCAATAGGTATTCTTTTTTATTCACACTTGCATTGGTGTAAATTTGAAAATTACTTTAAGTTATATATTCAAAAATCTTTAAAAACAATTTCAGACAAATGAAGTGTTGCATACTGATATTTATCTAACTTGTTAAATCATTGCTGACAACTTCTGTGAGAAATCATTAACATGATAATATGTTAATAACATGTCATAATAGCATGTAATAATAACAAATAATTAAAAGTAAATTCAGAAAAATGTGTTATTTAATAACTGGTAGCCCTTCACACTAATCAGTACCCAAAAAGAAGCTCTCAGTTTCCAAAAGGTTGGTGACCCCTGCATTAGATTATATGTATACCGTTAGGGTTGGGTTTAGGGTGAGTTTACATGTACTTGCAAAGTTTCTCATAGTCAGTTAATGTCTGTTGAAGAGCAGTATCAGCAGATATTAAGCAGGCAGTCTAATACTCAAATAGACCATCAAAATAAAGTGCTACCACATATTGTAATCCACTATACTGTAGATCTTTTTTGTTTGTTATTCATCTATCACAAGTTTGCTCATGTTTCTGACTAATGTGAATATCCAAATACTTATTAAATAAGCTGTGTGTGTGTGTGTGTGTGTGTGTGTGTGTGTGTGTGTGTGTGTGTGTGTGTGTGTGTGTGTGTGTGTGTGTGTGTTTGATATATTGCAGGACTCTTGGTTTTTAGTTTGCTCTGGGTATGCTGATGGCGAATAAAAAGAGAGATGTCAGAGAAATTCAACCAACACACACTGAAGACATGGCACAGTGATAACGCTAATGTATTGCTTTGTAACTATGATCATGTGGCCTCTTTTTGCTGGTATTTCTATCATAATACTTGCATTCCTATTGATATTACTTTCTTATTATAATAAGAGTGGAATATATTTAAAACTCTGTTTATATTTATACAGGTCATGTACATTTTAGGCTCAGGATTATTGAGGGACTGTCTTTTCTCCTTTATACCAGCAGAGGGCGACAAAAACCTACCGTTTATTTTAGCATCGTTTTGTGCAGTTTAAAAATAATTGTGAAGACTGATTTCATATATATATATATATATATATATATATATATATATATATATATATATATATATATATATATATATATATATATATATATATATATATATATATTTAACTATTTTATATGTAATAGTACTAATACACGTTTTCCCAGTCTAAATGCTAGCTTAGTGGGGTTTGTTGTCATGGTGCCTTAAGGGAAAATACATTCAAGGGGCCTTACTGTACTATTTAAAGGGATAGATCTAATCATAAATGATTCTTTTAAAAAGAGTGCTAGAAACTGGAACCCGTTGACTTCCATTGTATTTTTTTCCTACTATGGAAGTTGAAAGGTGTCAGCAACCAGCATTCTTCAAAATATCTTCCTTTGTGTTTAAAACAAAGGTTTTTAAACCACATGAGGGAGCGTAAATTGAAATTAAAATTGAGGTAATTTACAGTATTGGATGAAATTTTACTGATAACGTTAATTATTTTCCAATCACTCGTCTGACATTGTACAGGTGAATACATTATTACACATATTGCACATGCAGGGAAAGTGTGTTGTTCTTGCAGTGTTCAGAATGATAGACAGTGTGTGTGAGGAGGAAACAGAAGCAGCTGGTGCCGCAGCACAAGGTCACAGATCTATAATCCTCCACGCTAGATTAAAAAGTCTCCGTTTTGATTAAGAAAGCAGGGTTAGAGGATTATGCTCCAGTCAACAAAAATGAAAGCAGTTTTAAAGTCAATCCCAGAGTTGATCAAAATACACAACCCTCAGACTGCCCGCAGATTAATGCACGAGCTTCTCTGTGGTGGGTTTCATTCAGGAGAAATGCTTTCAGTGCTGATACACCTGCATACAACATATGACATAAACAATCATTAACTGGTAAATAACTGTAATTATAGTATAGAAGTCAAATATATCTAAAAGTTACTATAATTCCTTATGTCATATACATAGGATGGCACATCAAATAATAAGAGATAACACACACCTCTTAAACAAATTATTTGAGTGGATGCTCCTTGGGCGATGTCTAAAGAAAATAAGGCCCAATTTTATTTTTGTACTGCTACCCTTTCCCCTTGGCCCTTAAAACAGAGTGTGAAGGGGAAGGGCTTCAAAATTTCCCTCTAAGAATTGGGGCAGCACTACAAAACCTGCACACGTTATCATATGTCATCGCGATCTTTTACTTCATATGAGATCGGACGATAGCGACTGCTGTAGTGATTCCAGTTGTGTTTTGTTTTTTTTGGTGTTTATCTTCAGGAAATCACTGAAGGCATATATTATGTTATCATAATGATCTGATGTGGCAATAAGAGCATAACAGTACTGTGTATTTACACAGTGGCCATATTCATCAATGTAAACACACCAAAAACAACATGAACATTATAGCAGACACTGTAAAAGCTCATTCCCAGCCACTAGACTTCTCTGACAGGGTATTCCAGTGTCATCGAGAGAGAGTATGTTTGTTGGACTGCTGTACTGGAGTTATTATTATGGAATATAGATCACAAAATTTTGTGGTTTTTATTTTATCGTTTTTTTTTTTTTAAAGCATGACGGTAAAACACGAACGCAGTTATGAATAGATTAAATCATGTGCTTGTTTGTTGTAAAAATTTGAAATAATGACAAAAAGTACTAATTTGTGGATCTTCTTAATTCTGGGTGCAGCTATACTGCCGTTGTGGCTAGTGTATTCTGGGAAATTTTCTTACCCCTTGGTTTCGGGTGTGGTCCTAAAAAATCTCCGCTTCGAGGGCTATTCATCCCTTCTCCTTAGCTCTACACCTTCAAGCTAAAGAGAATTTGTGCATAATTGGGAAAGGGGTAGAATTGGGATTGGGCCTAAGCTGTTCCACAAATCATTATAAATGTGCTTTTATGCCTTAAGCAGTTTGGTTACGTAATGTAGTTGATCAATGGATTATTTTTAGGGGTGTGACGAGATGAGACATGAAATAAGACAAGATTTTTACACTATTTTTGAGAAATCGTTAATGCTAAAACATATAAAAGGAATAGTCTTAGAATTCAAATATTTTGCTAATATATGAATATATTTTTATTTAAAAAATTGTGAATTTTTAAAAAAATGTGTAATAGTTTTGCTTCCGTTTTTAAGAACATGCAAATAATTTGATGTATGCAATAGTCTTAAATCAGTTTATATTGAATTCTATGCAATAAACATGCAAACACTGCACTGTTTTGCTGTAGTTTTTGACAGAAAAGTTCTATTTACATATCTCTACTGCACTTCAATAAAGCGACTTTCAGCTCATCTAAAGTGACATTCCATCGCGTGATAATTTCCGTGGTTAATTTGTGTGGCTGCAGTTGTAGTTGCAGCCTCTGCTCGGATACGAATAACGCCACAGCCTTTGAACTCAGTTACATCATATCCTCCCACCCAACCCAAATTGTGCAACACAGAGGCCAGCCTTACGAGGTGTGTCTCGTCACAATTTATTCTCGACACCCATAATTATTTTATTTATTCCGTTTTTGTTTGTGTACTTGATGTTAACCCACATAGCAAAATGTCTCTGGCCCAGCTCTGGCCCACACAATCAGGTTTTGCTTGGCCCACATGCCGCAGTGAATTACGGTACATGACTGGACCAAATCTGGCTTCCAGACAAGGGCCAAACACAGACCATATCTGGGCCAAGTCTCAGCCAAGTTAATAACTCATAACTGGGCCTGAACTGGGCCAGATAGGTTGGTGTGTCACGATTGCAATGAAATTGATAAACCCATGGAGTGATGCGCTTTAGGCACACTCTGGGCACGCTTTTTCTCAAAGTGACCTGATTGGTAGAATTTTTTTTCTTTACTCAAAAATTATTTTAGTGTATTTAAAATGTGGGTCAAGACTGGCCAAACTCACATGGCCCACTTATCACATTTTTAAATCTGGGCCAAATACTACATTTTTCATCTGCCAGCTTTATGCCAAATCTGGGCCAGAATTCTTTGCTACTAGGGAAGTGTTGGTGCTTAATGTGTTGTGTATCATTCTTGTTATGTGAAGCAACACCATGTCTGAAATAATTGCCCCTAAAGGATAAAGCTTTAAACTAAACTAACTATAGAATTTCCTACCTTTGACTAATCTGTTTTTATCTGTAATCATTTTAATCATTTTTATTTTCTTGTTTATGTAAAGCACTTTGAATTACTGTTATGTGTGAATTGTGCTATATAAATAAACTTGCCTTGCCTGATATTGACTTTGACTTGTGTCAAATATTCTAACAAAATGTATTTTTTACAACAGTTTTAAATTATAATTGTAATATTTGTACAGTTTTACATAGATTTATACTGTTGGCCAGCGCAGAATTTCTAAAAATGTTCGCCTTTTAATCATATTTTTGTTACTTTATCTCATAACTATAACGTTTTCATATTTCATATATTTCATATTTTAAAAATGTACTTATCTCAATTATTGACCTTATTTGTGACGTATGATCAGCCTTAGCCATCGCATTATTTTTGTCTCGAGTCTTCCGATCTCATTCACTGTCATTGATTTTCAGACGTCAAAAAATGGCTTGTTATGCTGCTTGATGTTGCTGGTATTTCCTTATTACATTAATCTACTTATGTATAGTCCTAAACACATTTATTTTTAGAGCAAGTAGTTTGACCATTTTCTGCTGTTTGTTCCCAAGGTTAATCATTTCTCCCATAGGCAACTTAATCTGAAGTTCTTAAACAATCAAAATCGAGCCAACTTCTGTACTGAGGAATAAGGTCAATGACGTTGAAAACGTTTTTGCATACTCAGTCATGCAAACTACTTGTGTAAATTAAGCTGAAACAACACATATCTTAATTTTTTGGGGGGACAACTTAATTGTTTTAAGTTTAATCCACTTAAATGTGTTACATTAAATTATTTTTGTTGGGACAACACGAATGAAATGTGTACATTGCCCCCAAAAATGTGTAAAGCCGTGTCCAGAAATGCGCTATAAATGTAAGGATTAGAACCTTCATTTTGTACAGCATAATTTCGTGACAAATATTCTTGTCACTTTTAACCTCAGTTTTCACTTAAAATATTTTGACTTTTTAAAAAAAATTTTGGGGGGGAGGGGGGTACTTTTAATGTATGGGACAGTAGAGCGTTGACAGGACAGTGTGGGGAGCACAGAGAGGGGAAGGATCGGCACAGAAACTTAAGCTGGGAATCAAACTCTGGTCGCAGTGAGCACCTGGGTGCCATGTGTTGACGCACTAATCAACACATGATCGGCATCGACAACATTTTTACTTTTAAATGAGAATTATAATAAATGCAGGATTGCTTAAAATGTTCTCTTTTTATCTAGATATTTGTTTACATTTTATCTTACAATTAATTAATTTTCCTTCAGCTTAGTCTCTATTTCAGGTGTCACCACAGTGGAAAGAACAGCCAACTATTCCAGCATGTTTTACGCAGCAGATGCCCTTTCAGCCACAACGCAGTTCTGGAAAACACCCATAGACCCTCATTTACACACACATACACTACGGTCAATTTCCTTCATTCATTTTTCTTCTGCTTAGTCACTTTATTCATCAGGGCTTGACACAGCGGAATGAACCACCAACTTATCCAGCGTATGTTTTATACAGCGGATGCCCTTCCAGCTGCAACCCAGTACTGGGAAACACCCATACACACCCATACACTACGGCTCATTTAGTTTATTCAATTCACCTACAGCGCATGTGTTTGAACTGTGGGGGAAACCGGAGCACCCGGAAAAAACCCCACGCCAACACGGGGAGAACATGCAAACTCCAAACAGAAATGCCAACTGACTCAGCCCGTACTCGAACCAGTGACCTTGCTGTGGTTAGGCCACAGCGCTAACCACTGTGTCGCCCTTGTCTATTTCATTCAGGTCCTAATCAAAATGTCTAAATTTATTTTTCATCTCAAGCATTTAAAATGTAATTCTTACTTTGTGGACAAAAAACTTTCTCCCTGGACT